GTCGATGTTCTCTTGATAATTACCAATGCATTTGGTGAGCTTTGAGTGCAAACGAAAACAAATCACTTGGTAAAACATGTTTGGTCAATTCTAAAATAATTAAAAAAAGAGGAATGTTAAATCCTCTTCATGTCATTCTAAGCTCCTTTTGTGATTGGCTTGAAATATGGAAACCACCCATTTTTATGAGTTTTACTTCTCATTTAGACTGTCTCCTGAATTAGAAGTGAAATCTACCAAACTTAAATTTTTTGAATGAATTTCAGCTAAAAATAGAGATAGCCTTAGAAAGAGAGTGCAACAGAAAGCAAGAGAAAGCATAACTAGTATTTCTTATTAATAAATAATCGTAATCGTGAATAGTATACATGATCAAAGTCAGATCATAACTTTTATCTACCTAGTTTACTTGGAGGCCTAGAAACCCAAGCCAGCATGTGCATACAGCAGTTGGTTGGCAATGTCTAAATTCAACACAAGTTACATAACTTTCTATTATATAAATGAGTTTTTACAGCAAATGTTGATAGGGATAAGATCCATAAAAAAGTAACATAAAGACTACATATGTTAATACTCAGAAAATCCCTTTGTTATCTATCGGGAAATGAAAATGAAAATTATACAGTATATCTATCCCTCACCTATGCTGCAGGATAATCCAATCTCTTGTTTTAAATTGCTAAGATCTTATGTTCTCTGGGTACAAAAAAAAAGTACAAGCAATCTCAAATTAAAGAACAGAAGATTGTTTTCCCTTTGCAAATTTCTCAATCATTAATATCCATTAACAAAATAAAAAAATGGGAGGCTTTCTAGAGGCTCGTGAGAAGAATAGCTTGCTATGCATAAATGATGTCACACAGGCTCACTCAAGAAATAAGTCTTTTAACCTTCAATTTGTGATCCTAGCATGGAAGATATGAAATTCTGATGAACCAGCTTTTACACCATAAAAAGGAAAAGGAACAGAATGTCTACAGAGACACATCACTGCGGCGATCACGTCCGTTCATTTCCATGAAACCTGAATGCAAGCTTCTTCTCCTCCTACCTTGTTTTGATCTAGTTCCTCTTCTTCTATGACCTGAATACACCATAAAAATGACAACCAAGAAACCTACTCCTGAAAATGCCCACAAGAATATCATCCAAAACCTGAAAGAACTAGGCATCTCATCTTTCTGCACACTTTCTGATTCCTCCGTCGTGATATTGTTGTTTGTTGAATCATCATTTGCATCCAGGTTGCTGACCCTTGACACTACACTTTCTTCTTTTCTTTCCTCCCCTTCTGATGTCAAGGAATTATCACTTGAACACCTTCTCTGGTGGTGAAGATTCAGTGCTTCATTCAACGTCTTAGCACATTCTATGCTGAGCAGATCTCGCTGTAAATCCTCCTTGTTATCTAGACCAAGTGTTGAGGAATCTGGTGGATCTGGGAACTTGGCCCAGCATTTGTTGACCACGTCAACATTGCGCCAATCTGCTTTGTCAAAGCTCCAATTTCCAACACTGAATCGCAATCCGTAATGGAAGACTCTATATTTGACATCAGGTGCAGGAACATATCCTGGGTATATCAGTATCTTATCGTTTATAGTATGCTTTAATTTCAACTGCATCAATAAAGAACTGGTTACAGCAGTGAAATATTTTTCATACTTTGAAGAGGAAGTAAAAATAATGTGATGCAATACACCATGAAAGAGAAATGCACAGAGTAGCATATAGGGATTAGGGAATGAAAATTTATGCTCATTCTTGTCAACAATTAGGTTCTGAACAACTCAACCCAAAAGTGAACACCATAAGATTTAGTATTTCACTCACCCCTCAATAATAAAAGCCAATAATAGAGAGCACATAAAGAAGAAAACACATCCTTATACATAAATAAGGCCCTCATTTTTCTTTTATAACAGATAGAACAATTATCACTCAATAACATTTCAATACAACCTCATGTGGTTTGTATTCATTTAATAGACATGCGTTCTACAATTGCTTATTCGTAATCAACTAGAACATTCCTTGTTCAGTCATGTTTCAACAGTTAATATTAGCTTCATCACAGGGTAGTCAACTGAAGTAAAGCACCAAGCCTATGAAGCACAAACATTGTTGACAAGCAACAGAAGGTACAGTGTGCAAGAGTGTGTATATGCTTCAAGATTTATGGTATCTTGATATATTTCATATAGGAAAAAAACAAATTGTGGCACATTCCTAAGTTTGTTACTAAGAATTTCCACCAAGGCATGTTATTATCTCCCTGCTTTCCGAGATGCCACTGAAATAGTGAACACTCTACTCAATATGTATGCCACTGAACAAGGAATTGTCGTACTCATCACAAAGTGCCTACTGGTACAATCAGTAAACAATAAAGATAATAAAACATTTCCAACATAACTTTATGAGACTTAGATATTATTGTAATGCCTCTTAAAATTTTAATTCATGATGGGCTGATGCCTATAAACATTGTGCTCAAGCAATCCTTCCTTATTCTCTCTTTTATTGTTGAAAATTTTCGTAGTTGTTTCAAACATCTATGTTTCTTCTTTCTCTTTTAAATGGCGTCCTAGCCATTTCTGTGTTGTGCCCCCCCTGCTATGTTGGAACTCGGAAACAAAAGGCACAAATAAATTGGAGTCGGTATGAAGAAATATTAGACATGCAATCAACACTAAAACAAACAAGGCACCAAAATGGTATTCGTGCTTAAAATGATCAAACACTTCACCTAAATGGTAGAGTGAAAGAATTTTCTAAAGGTAAAATAGTTTTTGCAAATTACAAATGTTAGAATGGGAGTAAAATAAATTACAAGGGTAGAACTTCAATGGGAAAAAGCCATGAAAAGATGATATTTTCTTTGCTTCATTAATTTACTTGGATAAGAGCCTTTAACAGTCACACAGTATACAATTGAATTTATTATCTATTTATCCATTAATTTTTATTTATTTATTTTAACAAATGAAGAAACAATATAATTATTATTCTCGAAGTAGTGTCCTGAAAGAAAGTATGTTATACTGTTCTAGAAGTTATAATGTCCAAAAGCATCATTAAGGAAGCTTAGAAATGGTTCCCAGCCATACGATTTTAGGTACCGATAGTGATTAGTTAGTTAGTTAATCACATTAATTAGTTACTTAATTAGGTTACTGGGATGAAATAGTTTGAATAAGACATCTGATCAACAAATAAAAGGAGAGGTTGAAAGAGAGATTTATCAGTCATTGTGAGAAAGAATTGTTCTGTTAGAGAAGAGGGAGAGAACAACTGTTAGAGAAGAGGAAGAGAACAAGGTCTCAAATTCCATGAAGGTTCAATAAAATTCATTTGCATGTGTTATTAATAGAAATTGGATCAGAAACTAAACAGAACTACGGATTTTATTGAAGATTGAGGCTATGGATACCTAGCTAATGAACTAACTAATGAATAGCTATAGGTACTTGTTCTAATACAGAAAAAATGTCCTGGTTAAGATGAGAATTGAAGTAAAGCATAATTTATAAATACCCTAGTCAGTTAACTCAATGAGACACTTTTAAGGACCAAGTTGTAAAGGACTAGATGAGAACTAAAGAAAATAATTCAACTCATCCTGGCCAGATTAAAATAGAGAACTAACAACTAAAACATATTTAAAAGGCAAGACAAAATTTAGATACACTTGGTAATCTATATAAGAAACTAAAGAAAAGATGAAATATCTAATTCAAAGGAACTTCATTACTTGAGGATCACTGATAAAGAGAGGGACGAATTCAGACAGATCTAACATTAAGAATCCACCTATATAAACACGAAGAATCAATATTGTCTGTATGACACTTAAAAAAATAATTTGGCCTGCTCCCATAAAGTAGAGAGAAGTGTCTGGCCCTTTAAATTAAATTAAGCAATAGACACACAAATGTTTTACACTGAATTGCCTATGTTAGTTTCTAATAATTGGTGATTGGCCAAAGTGAGTTCTATCATGAATTGATATGACATATAACTTCAAGATCAAGTATGTAAGTAACTGCGGATCTCATGGATTTTTGTTCGATTCAGTTTCAAGCTATCAAGTGGCAAGGTCTCCATCAATGAAGAAAGAATGTAAAGGGCCCTGTTTATTTATGGAGACTCTACGGTGTATGTTTTCTATCATTGTCTCCTATTTTTCATGATAAAATGATTAAGAATTAAGATTAAGCCATGTGGTTATACCCATGAAAAACCATTGTGTGTTTTCCCCACTCTGTTTACCCAAAACCAATAAATAGTATGCTTCTTTCTTTATTTAGCAAAGGGTGATAGATCTAATCACCACTGAATTCAACACATTAATTCTAAGAAGGCACAACAGCCCAGAACCCTGGTATCTCTTTGGGAGCACCTGTCTCCTATCAACCTAGTGGTCATGGCTGCAGCTGTGCACCAAATCTTAGAACACATTTGTGAGTTCTTATCAAGAGTTCCCTCCTTCTTGAGATGGAGGGGCTTATAGCTCTTCCTACAAGATAATACCGGTTCATTTACCCATAACAGTTTATGTTTAATTCAAGTGTTATTTGTATTCTTCCAATACATTCAAAGTAAATTCTTTTATCTGTTTGAATGTATGATGACTAGAGTTTTGACCAACAAAACGACCTAACTTATATTCAATTTGCGAAACCATAAAAAGCGAAATAAATAGCTAAAATTGAAATTTGAGATTTGATTGGTTAGCTCCTAGAACAGATATGATAGCCATTCAAATAAGAGCCCAAGGGTCCAAGCTCATATTTGCCTAGCTCTTTGAAGGACAGCACAAGTTGCAAAGCAAGTAGCAACTCAAATGACTATAGATCTGTACCTGAAACAGGATATATCTCTAACTCCATGACACCCATAATCATTTCAACATATAAGCTGATTATAAATGATAAGAATGTAAAAGGAAAATACCTCTGCAGCACCAAATGAGTAACCATACATCTCACTAATCCACCCAGATTCATATATGTCTCCAGTTATATTTCTTGCATAATGAGCTCTATCAGCTCGGACCTCCTCAGTTTTATGCAGCCACAGCATTGCAAATTTCCGGAGATCATCTACATGCATAATGATTACACCACCAACCTTGTCACAGGCCTCAGGATGGCTAGTATGTAATTTTGCAAGCTCGTTGTCACAGCCAATAAGGTAGCTAGCATAGAAAAAATAAAACAAACGAGTCACCAAAGAGAATACACAAGATAAAGCAGACTTCAGCAGAAACATATACCATGTATGTACTGCACTAGCCAACTTCAATCAACAGCATTGCATTAATACTCACATTAACCAGTCTCACACACATAAATTTAAATTAATATATCTTAAATTTAGAAGGGAAAATTTTCTCTATTTCTCACTCATAATGTTAGGTTCCTGGGTTTGGAACCTAACAAGAAAACACTCAAAAGATAGAAACAGAAATGAAAGAATGAGTTTTGCTATTATTCACCGTAAACGAATCTCTTTACAAGGACTGAGTTTGGGAGCATAACCTCCCTCTAGAGAGCCTAACCTCCCTCCTCAGGATGACAAACCCTGTTAGACTACAATCAAACAATCGACCCCCCACTACAATTGATTATTTGCTATTTATACAACCAATAACCCCGCTCTTCCTAACTGCTAAGGCAGTTAAGGCAGTTGGGCATTTAATGTTTTATTCCTTCACTCTAAACTCTCCATCCCTAACATTACACCCCGCTGCCGAACAACCTTGTCCTCAAGGTTGGAAACGGGAGGCTTGATCTCATGGCTCCTCTTCATCATCGTGTACTCATATGAATGGAACCCTCTAGCAACTGCCCTCCAACTCAGGTCTGGAGGTTTGGGTGGTGGCAATTCCTCCTCCAATGACTTCCATTCTTCTTGGATTTTATTAGCTTCCAACATTCTGGTCACCTCTTTTCCAGAATTATAAGCTTCCAACATTCTGGTCACCTCTTTTCCAGAATTATAATCCCTGAAGAAATGGTCTTCGATGTCTTTCAAAGCTTCAAAAAGTTCTCTCCCCTCTGCAGGTGCCTCACGAACGGCAAGGCCCTTCTTTTGTTCGCTGGTCCACCTCTTCAATAAATCCATCCTTCTCTCCCGACCATTGATTCTTCCATCCACCTTTCCCTCCTTAGCCTTCATTCTAATTGTAAGCCCATTCGGCCAATTACTGAAAGATTGTTTGGACTGTAAGACCGTTCGGCCTTTGAATGTAACTGTAAGACCGTTCGGCCAATGACTAGGAGATCGTTTTGAGTGTAAAACCGTTCAGCCTTTGATTGTAAATGTAAGATCGTTCGGTTCCTCCTGTCCTTTCACGTTCGGATTCGGCAGTTCTTTCCCGTTCGTTTCCGGACCGTTCGGTTCCTTCAGTCCTCTCGGGTTCGCAGCTTGTAGTGCTAACCCGTTCGGCTTCGTCAAGCCTCTCCCGTTGGGTCCAGCAGTCTTCTCTTGTTCGGATCCGACCGACCGCTCGGCCACTCTCGATCAACCTGGGGTATAGCGCTTGGCCTCCGACCGTTCGGTAACTCTCGATCGGCCTGGGTTATAGCGATCGGCCTCGAACCGTGTCACCTCACCGTTCGTTCGTCTCCAAGACGACTTGTCTTCTATGGCCTCGGACCGCTCGGCCACTCCCGATCGGCATGGGTTGTAGCACTTGTCCTCAGACCGCTCGGCAACTTTCGATCTGCTCGGTTTATAGCAATTGGCCTCGAACTGTGTCACCTCACCGCACGTTCGTCCCCCAGACAATTGGTCTTCTATGGCCTTAGACTGCTCGGCCACTCCCGATCGGTATGGGCTATAGCACTTGTCCTCAGACCGTTCGGCAACTCTCTGGAACTCCTCAACATCCCTTGCGATCCGCATCGCCACCATCCATTCCTACGGTTCATGCTGTCGGACTTGATTCCGGATGTCCTCTTTCAATCCCACAAGAAAATATCCCAACAGCTGCTCGTCCGGTACCCTCTTCGTTCGACCCGCCAATATCTTGAAGTATTGTACATACTCGTCCACCGTCCCCGTCAGTCTCAATGCTGTCAACCGCTCAACAATGGTTCCAAACCTTATCACCAAGGCTTCCTTCAAACCATCCCATGAACGATTCTTGGCTTTCTCCTTCCAAGCTTTGAACCAGTAGCCAGCGCTCCCCTCCATGCTCACATACGCTAATCGTACCTTCTCCTCTTCCGTTACTCCTTGAAATTCGAAGAATCGCTCCGCCCAATTGATCCAGTTCAATGTATCTAATCCTTCGAACACGGGCAGCTCCACCCTCTTTCTCCAATTGAACCGCTCACCTTCTCCACCCCCAATTTCGTCCTTGCGTCTCGTACTCCTATTGGCGTTCACAGGCGCCTGACTGTCGTCAGACAGTTCCCCTTGAATGCGGTGCCGTCCCCCCGATAATCGCCTCACTTCTTGAAGATCCTGGCGTGTGGCTGCCGAGTCTTGTCGAACTGCCGCCGTTTTCACCTTCATTTCCTCCCTTGACGACTCCATCTCCGCCTTTCGTCCATCCATTGACGGCTCCATTGCCGCCATTCGTTCCTCCATTCTTCCTTCTAGTGCGTTTAATTTTTCCCCCCTTTGTCTTCGCTCTCGTTCCTCCCCCGAGCACTCCCTTCTCCTTCTCTGATTCTCGTTAACAGTATGTTGATCTTCATCTACAAACCCTGGACTGCCTTCTAATCCCTTTTCCTGGTTCCACACCCTTCCTCCAAGAACTCGCAAGAGTTCTCTGGTTTCCTGCCGCATTTCTTGCATATTTCTTCTCCATTCTGCTAGCTCCCTTTTCTGTTCGCTGATCCTCCTTTCCCAAGAATTGTCTCTTCCTTCCATGCTTCCCCTTTCTTGACCACTTCTTGATCCGTTCTTGACCCCTCTCCTAAGGATATCCGGCAGGTCGGACCAATTGTTAGGTTCCTGGGTTTGGAACCTAACAAGAAAACACTCAAAAGATAGAAACAGAAATGAAAGAATGAGTTTTGCTATTATTCACCGTAAACGAATCTCTTTACAAGGACTGGGTTTGGGAGCATAACCTCCCTCTAGAGAGCCTAACCTCCCTCCTCAGGATGACAAACCCTGTTAGACTACAATCAAACAATCGACCCCCCACTACAATTGATTATTTGCTATTTATACAACCAATAACCCCGCTCTTCCTAACTGCTAAGGCAGTTAAGGCAGTTGGGCATTTAATGTTTTATTCCTTCACTCGTAAACTCTCCATCCCTAACAGTACACCCCGCTGCCGAACAACCTTGTCCTCAAGGTTGGAAACGGGAGGCTTGATCTCATGGCTCCTCTTCATCATCGTGTACTCATATGAATGGAACCCTCTGGCAACTGCCCTCCAACTCAGGTCTGGAGGTTTGGGTGGTGGCAATTCCTCCTCCAATGACTTCCATTCTTCTTGGATTTTATTAGCTTCCAACATTCTGGTCACCTCTTTTCCAGAATTATAATCTTCCAACATTCTGGTCACCTCTTTTCCAGAATTATAATCCCTGAAGAAATGGTCTTCGATGTCTTTCAAAGCTTCAAAAAGTTCTCTCCCCTCTGCAGGTGCCTCACGAACGGCAAGGCCCTTCTTTTGTTCGCTGGTCCACCTCTTCACAAAATCCATCCTTCTCTCCCGACCATTGATTCTTCCATCCACCTTTCCCTCCTTAGCCTTCATTCTAATTGTAAGCCCGTTCGGCCAATTACTGAGAGATTGTTTGGACTGTAAGACCGTTCGGCCTTTGAATGTAACTGTAAGACCGTTCGGCCAATGACTAGGAGATCGTTTTGAGTGTAAAACCGTTCGGCCTTTGACTGTAAATGTAAGATCGTTCGGTTCCTCCTGTCCTTTCACGTTCGGATTCGGCAGTTCTTTCCCGTTCGTTTCCGGACCGTTCGGTTCCTTCAGTCCTCTCGGGTTCGCAGCTTGTAGTGCTAGCCCGTTCGGCTTCGTCAAGCCTCTCCCGTTGGGTCCAGCAGTCTTCTCTTGTTCGGATCCGACCGACCGCTCGGCCACTCTCGATCAACCTGGGGTATAGCGCTTGGCCTCCGACCGTTCGGTAACTCTCGATCGGCCTGGGTTATAGCGATCGGCCTCGAACCGTGTCACCTCACCGTTCGTTCGTCTCCAAGACGACTTGTCTTCTATGGCCTCGGACCGCTCGGCCACTCCCGATCGGCATGGGTTGTAGCACTTGTCCTCAGACCGCTCGGCAACTTTCGATCTGCTCGGTTTATAGCAATTGGCCTCGAACTGTGTCACCTCACCGCACGTTCGTCCCCCAGACAATTGGTCTTCTATGGCCTTAGACTGCTCGGCCACTCCCGATCGGTATGGGCTATAGCACTTGTCCTCAGACCGTTCGGCAACTCTCTGGAACTCCTCAACATCCCTTGCGATCCGCATCGCCACCATCCATTCCTACGGTTCATGCTGTCGGACTTGATTCCGGATGTCCTCTTTCAATCCCACAAGAAAATATCCCAACAGCTGCTCGTCCGGTACCCTCTTCGTTCGACCCGCCAATATCTTGAAGTATTGTACATACTCGTCCACCGTCCCCGTCAGTCTCAATGCTGTCAACCGCTCAACAATGGTTCCAAACCTTATCACCAAGGCTTCCTTCAAACCATCCCATGAACGATTCTTGGCTTTCTCCTTCCAAGCTTTGAACCAGTAGCCAGCGCTCCCCTCCATGCTCACATACGCTAATCGTACCTTCTCCTCTTCCGTTACTCCTTGAAATTCGAAGAATCGCTCCGCCCAATTGATCCAGTTCAATGTATCTAATCCTTCGAACACGGGCAGCTCCACCCTCTTTCTCCAATTGAACCGCTCACCTTCTCCACCCCCAATTTCGTCCTTGCGTCTCGTACTCCTATTGGCGTTCACAGGCGCCTGACTGTCGTCAGACAGTTCCCCTTGAATGCGGTGCCGTCCCCCCGATAATCGCCTCACTTCTTGAAGATCCTGGCGTGTGGCTGCCGAGTCTTGTCGAACTGCCGCCGTTTTCACCTTCATTTCCTCCCTTGACGACTCCATCTCCGCCTTTCGTCCATCCATTGACGGCTCCATTGCCGCCATTCGTTCCTCCATTCTTCCTTCTAGTGCGTTTAATTTTTCCCCCCTTTGTCTTCGCTCTCGTTCCTCCCCCGAGCACTCCCTTCTCCTTCTCTGATTCTCGTTAACAGTATGTTGATCTTCATCTACAAACCCTGGACTGCCTTCTAATCCCTTTTCCTGGTTCCACACCCTTCCTCCAAGAACTCGCAAGAGTTCTCTGGTTTCCTGCCGCATTTCTTGCATATTTCTTCTCCATTCTGCTAGCTCCCTTTTCTGTTCGCTGATCCTCCTTTCCCAAGAATTGTCTCTTCCTTCCATGCTTCCCCTTTCTTGACCACTTCTTGATCCGTTCTTGACCCCTCTCCTAAGGATATCCGGCAGGTCGGACCAATTGTTAGGTTCCTGGGTTTGGAACCTAACAAGAAAACACTCAAAAGATAGAAACAGAAATGAAAGAATGAGTTTTGCTATTATTCACCGTAAACGAATCTCTTTACAAGGACTGGGTTTGGGAGCATAACCTCCCTCTAGAGAGCCTAACCTCCCTCCTCAGGATGACAAACCCTGTTAGACTACAATCAAACAATCGACCCCCCACTACAATTGATTATTTGCTATTTATACAACCAATAACCCCGCTCTTCCTAACTGCTAAGGCAGTTAAGGCAGTTGGGCATTTAATGTTTTATTCCTTCACTCGTAAACTCTCCATCCCTAACACATAATTATTTACCTATATTTATACATATGTTCTGAGATAAAAGCAGAAATTAAAAAATAAAACAGTAAACAATCCTAGAGAGAATAAATCCCTATAATTATGGGATTTTATTCTTGTTACAATCTCCTAATATTCAATTCATAATCAAATCTAACCAAACAAACAGAATAAAAGATAAATATAAATTTCCCTAAATAAAGCCTAAATTCACGGCATGCTTCTTGACAATATACTTACTCATAAGGAGTTGAAACGGGATGACCACGAGCTGCTTTGAATTCCCATGGTGTTATTGGGCCTCTTAAGATCATGTCAGCATCAAGAATCACTATGAATTCAGCATCAATATTTACATGATTAAGCCAATGAAGGACTGCAGCTGGTTTATTAATTGCTGGATACCTGAAATAAAACACACATTATCATGTTTTTCTAGCTTATAGTATAAATCAGCCACATGAAACATGGAAAAGAGTTAGGCTCTCAATGACTGCACACTACAGGTTGAAGAATTTGGTATCTCGTATATCATTTAAGCAGGAAGAGTATACACAAGGCAAAGATCAGAAATTCAATAGTATTAAATAAATAAGTTAAATTTGAATTCCACGAACACTGATAGACTAAACCAGTAATTTAATGTTAACCACTTTGTCCCAATCATACAGTAAATGTCAGTGCAGAAATAAAATGAAACTAACAAAAAGAGGTTAAGATACTGCCACTCAAATTTGAAATAAATAAAAATTTGCAATTACCAATCTCCTGTTAGTGGATGTCGACTCATAGAAGGGACATAATGTGTTGGAGCCAAATCATGGCCTTTATACTTCTGTAATTCTTCATCAGAGCAGCTGAGAAGTCTAGTAATATTTCCAGGCTGTCCACTTTTATGGAAGCTGTGCATAAGTCCTACAGTTTGCCAATCAAAGTATGTGGTGCATTCCGTTGAAAAAATGGTATGAATTTTAGGATGTGGCTTTCCTGCACCATCATCAACATGTTCTTCTTTGATATCCTCCATCATTTCTAAAGTAGCAGGAGTCACATATTTTGGCTGAGTTAGTTCTGCATAAGCTTTGCTTTTCAAAAAGCTCAAGTATTTAGACCATACTGGTTTAGGGCAACCATTTGCTGCATGTTGTAATAAAAGGCCTTCATTTATAATGTTTATGCACTCTATGCTTAGAAATAGCCCTCTCCTTCGATTATGATCAAGTTCCAACTGTCTTAACTGCAATATAAGATACTTTCCAATTTCAGTAAAATTGAAAAAGACCTGATGCCATATTTAATTTCATAAATTCAGCATAGTTGAACAAAAACAAAGGATTAAAATGCTGAGTATTATAAATGCATGTAATAGGAGTATGTCCTTGCTTATTAAAAAATGATGAAGCACCACTAGTGCATCACAATTACACATCCTTAAACACAGGAATGTCTTCTCCCAAAAGAGAAGCACACCATGGGGTTGAAAAATCCTGGTTTTTCTACAACCACAAGTTTCCTTATACAAGAATAATGGTTTATGTACCTCTTTGGGATATGGAGGTTCTGGAAAGAGTTTATTACATTCATAGACAATACCGTCATCATGGTGATCCAGTTTATTAAATGACCAATTCCCAACAATAAATGGCAGCCCATAGTGAAGAAGAATTGGATCTATTCCCTCTCGAGGAACATAACCAGGGTAGATCATTAAGTTATCATTGATCTTGTGCCGAAGTCCAACCTGTGAAGAAGAGGTAGGGAACCCAAAAGGGTAGACATAAAGAAGGATAAATACAAAATAATCAGTGGAAATTGAATCATTAAACACTACAGTAAATTGCTAGATGGTTGGTACGGAGTAACATCAAGTATATAGTTTATAATGCCTGAAATAAAAAATCATTTTAAGGCATTGAACTCACCTCTGCAGCACCAAAAGAGTATCCATACATCTCACTGATCCATCCTTTCCCGTAGATGTCACCAGTTATGTTTGTTGCCCAGTGAGCCGTATCTTCCCGAACTTCTTCGGTTTTTGAAAGCCACAAGGGAGCAAAAACTCGCAGGTCATCTATATGAAAGGCCAAAAGCCCACCAACTTTGTCACACAGTTCTGGATGTTTTGTGTGCAGTTGAGCCAAAATATTGTCACATCCTATTAAGTATCTGGAAACAGAATTTAGATATGTCTCAAGTTTTAATGGTGAGCCAAAGAAAGAAACAATAATATAAAATACATAGATAAGTACTACTTTAAGAGATTTAATCAAGTTTATGACGTAGAGCAAAGCTCTCCCTAGCTTATGCATTAGTAAAGTCCCCATCCCCTGATTCAATTCAAGTGACTGCATTACGGCCAATGTAAAAATAAAAGGCCTAGGCTTCCAAAACTTCCATATTGTTAAAATTGATAACAATCAAATGTAAGATGCACTAATGCATTAGCATCCTTCCAAAGTATGTGAAATGGAAGTGATGATCAAGTGGTTTACACTACATCACAAAAAGAAAAGGAGTGAATAAAAAGAATAAGAAGCAAGAAAATAGTAAATACCCATAATAAGCTGCAACAGGTCTTCCCCTCTCAGCACCAAGCTCCCAAGGTACAATTGGGCCTCGGATTATCATGTCTGCATCCAGAATGACAACCCAGTCAACGTTTTTTGCATCCTTACTGTGTTTAAGCCAATGTACAACCCCAGCAGGTTTGTTTATTGCAGGATACCTGCATAGTGGATAGGAGATTTATTTCTCATCCTACTATCTTCAGCAAATGGTTCTGCTTTTAAAATAACATAGGCACATGTCATATTTGCCAAAGGGACGTGTTAAAATAAAATTAAAAAATTAAAAATTAAAAAGAAAACACACACACTCTAAACATATGAGAATGAACCGACACTTATGAGCATTTCGTTTGAGAAAACACTTTTTGTTTTCACTTTGCTTCCAATTTTCAAATGCTTGTACAGGAAACACTGAACATAACTTTCTACTGTTTTCATGTTTGGTTTTCACTTTTTTCTGGATAAAAAATCAAAAATTCAAAGTGAAAACAGAGAATGAAAATAAAGAAACATTTTCTCAAATCAAATGGTCACATACTCCATACCAAAGTACTGGCAGAATATTTTCATTATGAAGTGAGAGTATCAAGATGAGTCATCCAATGCCCTGTACTAATTGGTGTCAAGTGCAAGCTCAGGGGTCTTATGCACAAGAAAAACTGGATAGTGCTGACATTAAGAAATTTCTTGTCAACATCACATGTCATAACTGTACCAATCATAATTGTTGTACACCACACAAATCCAGAGCTTATTTACCATGAAGAATTTAGCCACCACACCAATCCACAATTTATACACACTGTTTCAAGAACTCGCAGATCCTGTCCGTAGACATGCCTAAGTAAAAGATCAACAGCAGGATAGACAACTACACAGAACAACAAATCAGAGTTAAAACTACCTTAGTAAGTAACCAACTAACGTTGGACAACCAGAACCAAAACCATGTCATTAATCTCACTCTAAAACAAAACCACACAAATGAATCCACACTCCACACTCCACACTCCAAATTCCAAAAATGACTAAACTTAATTCCATAGGTGTTTATTCTGCTGATTTCCAGTCAAAATTGAAGTTTCGCCTTAATAATCTATGTTGACCTTAAACCAAAATCTGTTCCACGAATTACCAAAGGGAAACTCCAAAAACATCTCTGAAACTGCATCTAACAGTTGTCCTTCTAAAACTTACCCCACCCCACCCAAAAACATAAACCTTTGCAACACTGATTATTTATCATTTGCTTACCAGTCACCAGTTCTGGGGTGTCTACTCATGGAGGGCACCTCAAAGGTTGGCGCCAAATGCATTCCCTTGTAGTTCTTCTTCTCCTCATCAGTGCAACTGAGGAGTCTTGTGATGGGTCCAGGCTGCTTGGCCTTCCTGTAACTGTTCATCAGCCCCACAGTCTGCCAGTCGAAGTAATTCTGACATTCCACAGAGAAGAGGGTATGGATCCTCCCTGATGGAGACTTCCTCGCACTTTCAATGTCCACCACACCCGCCAACACCACCACCATCAAAATCCAAACTTTCCCCATCCCAGCTCAATTTCAAGGTCAGAAACCAATTGGGTATCGCCTCAAAGATCCGAATTTCATCTCACGACTCTGATCTCCCAAACTCTCAGCTTGCAATGCTGAAGTCAAAATTGTGTAAACAATATATTAATATTATGATACGATGAGATGGGAGAAAGGAAGATATTGTGCAATTTTCCAATTTGTGTTAAATAAACAAGTTAAAGAATAATATTATACAGCTCGATAATTAAACTAAGCAATTATTAATGTGGGAACGAATCTTGAAAGTGCGAGAGTAGTTGTTATTACTTAAGAAAGTAGTGCATACTGTACACGTATGTGATAGTTGAATCTTCAACGCTTTGAGGTTTTTCTATTTATTTTTTGTTTTGTTGTGCGAGAAGAAAGGGCTTTTGATTTTCTTCGTGCATGTTGGAGGAGACTAATTTCTGTTCTGTGCCTGACTGATTCGTTGGGAAGAGAAGATATATTATTCCTTAACCTAATCAATGAAGCGTCGTCGTTTGCTGTTCGTTAGCCTGTCTCCTCATTAAATCATCATTGTACTTTAAAAATCAATTGCTCCTTACTTTTTCCTAAATCAAAAGAGGAAAAATTACCCCTTTTTGCAATGGAAGTTAGATAAGGTTGGTTTTTTTTCTCAAATTTTAGGGAAATGTTGAGGAAGGAAATTACCATGTATTTTGTTTTCCACACATATTTTATTAATTGAAATTTAATAAAAATATAAAATATACATAAAAGAAGATAAATATTATATGTATAATCTGAGATGTAAAGGAAAATAAAAGAATATGATAATATATTATTACATAATTAGACCATTGAAACTTTCTTACAAAACTTTTACTACTATCGGGTAGTCTTGAGTTAACAGTTACAACAAGTGTTTCTTTAAATATCCTTTGTTGTTTAAACATCCTTTTTCAGTACTGATAATTTTAAATAAAAAGGATTTGTCTCCTATCTAAATGTGAGAATCCATGAGTCGAATTTCATAAAAAGTAGATAATCTAATAAATTAAATTCATATCTTATTTATACATACATTTGATGACAGAAGTTATGTATTTAAGCATGTGTTAGTTTTAACCTTCTCGGGTTAATGAAAGTCAAAATAATTTATTGGAAAAGAAAGAAAAATAAAATCATTTCACCCAATACATTTTAAATTATTATTTCAAACCAATGCATTTTAAATTATTAGAATGATTTTCATCATTTTCTAGCAAATCTAAAAGTACTTTAATATATTAAAACATACTTTAATTTATTAAAATGTGCCAAAAAAATCATAAAGGACTGAAAACATTAGTTAGAGTAATAAATGATAAGTTAGATTGAAGTGAAGTGTCGCACAAGTAGTTAGAGTATTTTATTATGTGTTGGACATCATGTGTTCAATTTTTTTTGTGTACATTGGATGTTATTTATTTCTTTTTCTTATTCTAAATGATATTGTCTTAACAAATAATTAAAAACACTTTAGAAGTATAAAAAACACTTAAGAGATGCAAGGATTAGAAATGAAATTGATTTATTTTATTAGGGCTAGATTTCACCAATCTTGCTCTCATGCACTTAATTATTCAACTCCTCTCCAATATATTGATAAGTCAACCACAAGTTTTTGGTTAAATTTTTATTTTGAGCTATACCACATTTAGTGATTCTATTTCTCCATTTTTGTGATACTAATTTGGATCAGCTACGGTTAGATCAAACCTTAATTCCTTAGTAGAATGAGTCTAGAATTTCTTATTAAGAGTCAAAATCACACCTTATTTAATATAAATTAGTTTTATCTCTAATTGAAGTAAGATTTTTAATATATTATATGTGAACTATGGATTTACAAGAGACTTTGTTGCTCTTTCAAAAATATATTTAAATTTTATGAGTACTTGGAGAACTCGAAATAATAAATATCTTACTATTAGCATTTTTAAATCCATATATATTGAACTATTTGACATGTTTATTAGTATTGTCATATTTAATGTTTTCACCTTTTATAAATTAAAGATAATATAATAAACAATTAAATAAGTGATTCTAACCTAATTATATATAACTAATAGTCTTAATTATGTTTTAGGTAGCTAATAAAATTAGGTGTTTTGTACATGTGTTAATTAAGTCCTTGTCAATGCATTTTTTTTTTCTTAATTGAATGAATTGATTGCATCTTGTTTTGTCATCTTATTTATTTATTTTGTCATACATTATTTTGTGTTAATACTAAACAACATAGTTTCTTATTAATATAATATATGAATTTATTATTTTTATTCAAAACAACAAGAATAAATTGTTGAGATGAGAATCAAAAGACAATGAATATAAAATCATGTTGGATGGGAATAATTAAAAAAAACAAAAAATGTAAATATGATATTGGAAAACTACAAAATAAGCATAGAGAAATTATGGAACAAAAGGATATTATATACACAAGTCTTATTGGTGTATTCTTTTCATCATTTCTTTTTCTTGTTTGACAAAATCATCAAAATCAAATCTCTAACACTGTGTTCGTTTGTGTGGATGATACTATTTAAAAGCTAATAAGAGAAAAGATTTAAGGAATGAGTGAGGTTTGGAATTCTACCACTTTGCTGGGACTTGCAGGGATTTAGGAGGAAATGTCCAAATACCCCTTGTATCATTATCATATTTACTTCACAAAAGTTGAAGTTTTGATTATATATAAGCCTTGTAACTGATTCCAAGTGACTAAGGAACCAATTCCACTAATCTTAATGAACATGCTTTGTTGCCACGAGTTCACTCATGTTGCTTTTGCTTTGCCATGCACAGACTTAGAGGGATAGAGATTCCCAAACTTACATAGAAGAGGCCAAGATTCTTGAACTCTATAGGGCTGATTTGAAATTTTTTTATTGGTTGACTCCTTCACCTAACCATTATAGCCCATTAACTATTTGATGGTAGCATTTGGTGGTTTATAATAAGTGCCATTATTTACGATATAAGCTCTCCACTAGTGTTGAAGTGTGCACTACATATTAAGAGTATTGAAGGAAAAGCTTTGAAGCATTGACAAGAGTTTTGAAGGAAAAGCTAAGAAAGTGTGTTCAAGGACAACCTAAGGTGAGTGTTCATAATTCATTGGACAATGTGTGGTTATTCTATGATATAGGTTCGATAAGCTTAATGGAAGACAAAACAGGTTATTCCAGATAAACACAAAGCAAAGATAAATGCAATTCATTCCATAGTCATTAAGCATTTGAAGTGATGTAGCTTCGTGGTCTGGTTTGGATGTCTAAGTTCAAGAGGTTGAAGATGAAGGCATTGTCCATGGAGGATGTGGGTGAACGAGGGTGGAGAAGAGGTGAATGTTGTAGTTGGAATCGATTATATGGACGATATATCTGATTCCAACCCACAAGACAAAACACAATGGATGTGTATTCGATTCCATAGACCGCATATATGGTTCCAACGAAGACTACAAAATTTGTATTTGATTTCAAAGGGAGGTATATTCGATTCCAATAGGTCATATTCGTTTCCAGGAGTTGTAATCGGTTCCAACAGTGGGTTAACCGATTCCACGAGCTCGTATTGGGTTACATGACCTTGGAAGCTTGTTCATGACCTTCAAATGGTTAATTGCAATGACAAGAAACCTTGTTAATGGCAACTCTAATGGTTTTTTGTGTGGTGCAGGTGTTACAAAGAGAAAGAAGGGGTGGATGTGCTTGTGGTGAACGTCTAAAGAAAACATCATTGGTGGGTCTGTACTTGTGAAGGATAATGGATGTTATGAAGCTTGTGGAGGAGGAGGAGTTATGAGTTTGGTGAAGAGGATGATCTCTAGCTGGAGTTTATGTTTGTGAATGAGGTAAATATAGGTGATGGTTTTATGTGAGTGAAGTTTGTTTGTGATGAATTTTTGTTTGATATATGTATTTTGTACAGGTCTTTAAGTTGTGTTAGTGGTTGATGGAGGTTAATTGGTTTTGGTATTTGCTTGCGGGTGATAATCTTGTAGTTTGGTGCGCTGATTCTGGTTGAGGATTTGATGGTTACTTGGTAGCCTCTACTTGTTTGTTGGTTTTCTTAATACCTTGTTTGGCTCATATTTTGCAAATTAGAGATTCTCAGCCTTTGGTTATGTGAATTTGTGGTGGTTCTCGTGTGGTAGATCCTTCGTGTTATATTCCTTCCTTTAAAAGTCTTCAAGAGGTATGCATTGTAAATGTATAGTTAGTTAGTATCTGAAGAATTATATGTTTAATAGATATGTGTTTTAAATGCATAGTTAGTTAGTATGTAAAGGATTATATGCTTAATAATTTTAGGTTTAATATAATATGCATTTATATTATTATGTATGATTTAATTCAAATAATTGTAAGTTTAATATAGTATGAATTTATATTAATACGTATGATTTAATTGAAAGCTTGTTTTGAATTAGAATTATGTATGACATTGTTATGATAATAATTAAAAATTTTCATGAAATTGTCACATGTATTAAATTTTGTAACGAATATGAACATGTTTTATTTATATTAAAATGGTAATTATATTTGTTTAAGTAAATATAAATGGAAGAAAAATTATATGATTCATATTTGAAAAGTGAAGATATAGTTTATGATGTTATGAGTGTCAACTTCAATATAGTAGCACTCTTATACCGTTAATTACAAATGCACACATCAATAACAATATTAACAATGTTATGCATTGTTGGATTTGCTTCAAATATATTGATGATGTATTTGAGCGCATCAAATAATGTTAGAGAATTTGTACCAAACAAAAATAATATATTTATCAATTGACCTCATCATATCATGCAACATATACTTAAATGTAAGGTCGGTAACATATATTTACCATATGGTATATTGATCACCCAAATCATACAATACAGTGGAGTACATCTTGACTTCGACGCCAACACTCAGATTAGGAGAAAACAACATTTTTCAACCAATTATTTGAAGAAGTTGAATATTGTCAATGTCAACGGTGTTTGATAGTACGACCTTCGTGTTAATGAAGATGAAGAACAACCACAAGATCAAAGTCCTGAACATGACAACTCAAATGTGAGAGGGGGTACAAGACTTGCAAAAAAGAATGCAAGGTATGAACCAAATACAAGGGTCTGTTCAGTGAATTGAAGATAACATGGCCAACTTATCTCTAGACATGAAACAAAAATTCATTAACCTCAATTATAATGTTAACTTAACTTTGCACAAATTAGATGATTAAGTTGTATCATATTGGATGATTGTATTACATCAGCTTATGAATTTACTTTATTATATTATACGAACTTACGTCTTTGATTTTTTACATTACATCAATGTCATTTCTATTTTATTTCACAAAATTTGTCATACTTGTTTTATTGTCAAAGTCACCTTAATGAACTTTAAATCAAATGGGTTCTCGAA